CGTTTCGTAAAGGATAATAAACCAATAAACTGAAGCAGCGTCATTAGCTCGTCGTTGGCACCCTTGAAATGGCTCGAACGATCAAACGTATTTAGTAACCTAAATTGCTATCTACGCTCATCATGGAAACGAATTGCTATAGATTGCATGAATGAAATAACGGACTGACGATGAACGATATAAAAAGTTATTCACTGCATTGGAGTACTCCTTTTTAATGTTTTACATTACCCTAGTTAAATCGTACAATATTCCTTGTATTATTCAGTTGTTTCAATATCTTAACTGTATTCTTTTGCAAAACTTGTATAAATGTTTTCTGCTAAGAGACCTTCACAAAATGTAAATGGTTATTCCTTGCTTAAAATCAACTTTTCGTAAAGGCTCTCTTAATCAAGATGGCGCCTGTAATTGAAATAAAGTCCTGTGCTTATATTCTGTGGGTAAGTCAAGACCAACGAGACCATAAAACCAGTATTTGTTCAGCAAAAGCAAAATTTTTAAGACGCTGAATGGTAGAATTGAATCAAGTGTTGTTTTATCGACAAACTACCTCAAGTTCCCTAAATTTGCTCTCCACACTGCCACGTTGGCAAATGCAATCAGACCGTGGAGTGACATCATAACTCATAACTCGACCTAGTTGATCGTGCCAATCCCGCGAGCGTGGATTGCAGTTTAAGTCACGGTCTGCATGAGTGAGGTTTTTGTGGCAAAATGTTAAGGTAGATAAATTTAGAACTTTAATTTTATGCATTCTCTTCTTTATGCCTAAAAGGCCTCGGTCTGCTTATCAACATTCTCGTAATTCCTTTAAAAGTCCACAGAAAGTTCGTACAAAATAGGGACCTTTGAGGGCGAAACACTATTTCGTATAATTTAAACAATTTTGAAAGCTTCCTAAAAAGCCCCTACTTTGCTCAAGTTTCAAGTGACAAGCGATGAATTTTTAAAGCTCTGTCATGTTTTAAAACTCTACAAATTGTTTTCGATCCATCAGTCCATCAGTTGTTATCTATTTCCCGCTAGTTTTACAATTCAATCTAAATAGACTACTACTGCAGTATGATAGGTAAAGATTAGTCGCAGGTTTAGCTTTGTAAAGTGGTACCAAAAAGACTCAGTTGTGATACATCACTCTTCTTTCAGCACCATGCCCTCGAAGAAAAAAAAATGGTCGAGTACCTTCGACAGACGTGAACGACAACAGGAAAAATCCAAAGGTATTAAAAAGTGTTTCACTCTATAACTCATATATATACCCTACATAATATTCTTAAGTAGAACATGGCTAAGGGTTTAACCTTAATGGCCAATCATTGGATCGGTATCAGTATCTGGGCAACTGCCCACCAACCCCTTCCCCAACCCAACAACAGTCTATTGATAAAAAGTTAGGGTTAATGTTGGGTTAGGGGAGGGGTAGGTGGGCAGTTGCCCAGATACTGATATTGATCCCAATCTCCGTTATTAAACTTTTTAATTTTGTGAGTGCGTTTAATGTCGTTCCGCTACTATCTAGATTTATTACTATTCATGAACTACCCTGAGGAGACATTTGTGTCGAATAAAATAGCTGTGGAAACTTCATTGGGTTATAGCCACTAGTTATATTGAAAGATTGCATGGCATTGATTCCATTTAAAGGCATGTCTCTTGTTTTCGTCCTCTTTGTCTCCAGAACTGACCCACTGGTTAAGTTGGACCCTCCCCGCCCCCTCCTTAGCCCCTTTTTAATTCAGGATTAGTTCAGTCTGGGTATCTTTTTCGTGGGCCTTTTACCTTTGCTAAAGATTAAAAAAAGAGAAAAAATCTTTCAAGATTAATGTCACTGAACTGTGTTAGACATCACCCATTTCATCCCTATGATTTTAATCAGTTAAAACTGGTTTCTACAGCTCTTTGCGAACGAAGCTGGATAGATGACCAAGACATTTATCTAACTATACTCTCATAATTGTAAATATTTCCACCTGGAAAAGGAGATATGCATAAACATTTTTCCAGTCCTGTACAACTTGGATGACTTTTATCTTTTCTAAAAACAACCAATTAAATCTCAAATTTCTGCTTGTATTGCAGAATCTGATGAATCATCAAAAACAAGGGAAGAAGGACAAGCCAAATCTTCACCATGGACAGAAAGTCCTCAGGCGTCTCAACCGAGCGGAGGTGCTTGTGGATCATCTGCTGATCAAATACCAGGTATAGTATTGCAATGTTGTGGTTGCAATGTAATAAGGAAACTTATGCAGATCTCACCGCCGAGAGTATTTCAAACAGAATTTCGAAAAAGAAATGTACTTTCCATTAGCTCATTTCCAGGTCATTTCGCGTGCAATATGTTCTTGCTATGGAAATTTCTATTCGGGGTTCTGATACGTTCCATTTATTCCAACCGTCTACCAATACCTATTTTCACGATTGAATGGTAAAAAAACCTGTGGCTCATCAGCAGAGACTTGATAGGTTGTCGATGTAGTACCAAGGAATCTATCCGATGGTTAGTGCATGAAGCTTTGTAAGCAGGTGTAATAGAATGCTCTTTTTACTCAAGATGATAAAACTACACAAGACAAACAAGACCACAGAGGCCGATATGGAAGAAAGCATCCGGATGGTAGAAGGAATAAACGACAGAAACGACATCAAGGCAGAGAAAACGCCTCTGTAGGTGAGTAGAAAATGTTGGGAGTACCAAAATTATACAATTTCGAGTTTAATTCGATTGAAAAGAAGTACATCGAGTAAAATGCTGCGTAAAGTTATCCATATGGTTGGTATTGAGAGGAAGCAATTCAAGGAGAGTGAAATGAAGCTCAGGAGGAAACACACACACGGTTAATGGGTATTAAATCAATCATTCTGCATGAATGATTTAAAACTCGTGAAAATGCAAGTTCGTAATGCATTAATAGTTTAGTCCGAACGTGGCGTTGCTCACAAAATTAGCAGTTGTTATCCACTTGGAAACCTGTTGGACCTCACAACTGTTTAAGCTTATCTTGCAATTTTCATTTTGGTTTGTCAATCAAGGACCGGATTATGAAATTAACTGATATTGATTAAGGACCCGCTCACGAAATTTGCCTTTGTGGTTATTAATCAATCGCCTTTATTACATTTGAGTGACTAAGTAACATTAGTTGTTGCTTTTTTGTCTATAAGCTGTTTTTTTTCGTATACGTCTGTCATTTTTTCATTTCTGACATGCTAGTTGCATAAACCATTCTTAACACCACAATAAGTTTTATAAAATTTGTGAGTGAAGTGGATTAGGTCCTTCTAAGTTTTTTTAAGCTTTAAGGACCATTTCCTTGAGTTACTTCAATGAAGAGATAAGTGAGTGATAATACCTCCACGGCACTCCAAAACTCTCAATATTAACTTGCTATGGATGGTCTCACAAGAGCTTGACAGCTTCCAAGCTGATTTAAAGATTTAGAGACTTGAATCATGAAACACCTCGGCAAACGTGTCACTTAGAAAGGGTCTGTAATACTTTCATGTCAAGAGTCACAAAATGTAGGCTGCGTCAAAATCTCACCTTAGTGACAAATTATGATTTTAACGGAATATTTTAGATACTGAAGCTACAACTGAGTCAAGTCAGACAGGTACAGAGAAGAAAACGACACCACAAGCAGCAAGGTCAGCCACTCAAAAGGCAAGTGGAGGCTCAGTAGACAACGGACCAGTTCAGCGAAAAACTCGAGGTGAGTGGCCTGTCGGGATCTTTGGACTTCAAAGCAAAGCAATTAAGGGTACAGTTTGCTGTATGAGTTATCTTATTAGTTATCATCCATGCCAGTAGGAATAGGAGGCTAGGGGAGATCGTGCACCCGTGCACCTCCCTCAAACCCCTCCCCCCCCCCCCATACACACAAACACACTTCTAGTTGATGAGGAAAAAAGAAGATAAATGCGCTGGTAGTGGTTGCGAGTAGTTTATAAGATAGGAGTGTAAACTACAACATGCGCCAAATTAAAAGGCTAGGAGAGCTTGTCTAAAGAATCAGATTTTTCTGGAGAACCATGTCTCTGTATTATGGCTCATTTAAATACACCACAATTACTGCTGCCTTTGGGCCCTCGCAATACAAAATTCGTCCCTAAGGGACTGTTAATCTACACGAGACCAAGCGAGGCGGCCATTTACTCCTAAACTCTTATTTATGTATTGCAGAAAGTTTAGTCCTTCACGTTCGTGGGCACTTTCCAGATAATTGTACTTGTCTTTCTAAAACAACATTCTTTCAATCGTAGATGACAACGTTGATAAACATAGCAAACAAGTTCAGGGAGAATCATCACGGGAACCCGGAAAAGGTCCCATGATGGCGTCACCATTTGAAAAGGGAAAACGTTCAGGTAATGGTTAAATTGGAATTCTATGCTATTATCAATTGATTCAGAGGATAGCACAATTTTCATTCAATCTTTGTTCAGTTACTCTTGACCAAAGCTTGCAAGTTCTTTAATCACAGATAACAAGAGAACAATACCATCCCATAAGCTCTGCTGCAAATTTTTCATTGGTGTATAAAAGCTTCTACTCCTATCAAATACATGTCATACATAGCTTTGTCACTCGAAGCTGCCCAGCAACGTGGGTCATTGAGTGAAGGGTTGTTGAATAATCAGAAATTCTCATAATGTGTATCAAAAAAGGAAAGGAAAAAATGCGACGCAAAAAATAAGCAAGGGCCTACTAGCATGCCCTTTGAAATCTATTATGGTGATTAGGTAACCTCTCCAAGCTAAAATGTAAGCTTGTGATAACTTCTGATAGAGTTACCCAGTTTTCTGATAACGACGAAATCAAATGAAAAACGATCAACTTATTTTGGAACGCAATTCCTTATAACACAGGTCAAATACAAGCAAAACAAGCAAGAACGCCTTTTCCAGGAAATAGGGATGTCTGTTCCCCATCACAGCAGAAAGGACAGGCACCTTTGCGAGGCTGTTTATCAAGGAAAACTGTGTTAGACTTGAAAATGTTAAAAGAGACGAAAGGCGCCGGTATTGTGCAAAAATTGAATGAGAGTATGGTTCGCTTCAAACATTTTCTACGATCGGAAGAGGAGCAGCACAATAGTGATGAATTCATCTTTGACCTTACCTGCATATTAGCGAGAGTATGCCAAGAGCCAATAGACGAGAACGTGATCAAAGTTCTCACGGCACTGAAAGGTTCAATTTTTTTAAAATCAAAGATTCCATGCCTGCTAGATCGTATTAAAGACTCAGTAACCTTAAATGACCAAGAATCCCAAAGAAGACTTATTCAATATCTGATCAAAATATTCACACAATTTTTGATGCCTTTGCCCAGTTCTTATGCTGATCTGCCCTATGAACAATTGAAACAAGCCTTAGATGAATCCAGCATCGACAGAAAAGATGAGCTTGAAAAGGAACTTGAGGTCTTTAAACAAGTCAGAGGAAATGTCATTATAGCTGAGAGACAAAAGCGAGGACAACGTTATACTAACATGACAGGAGAAAAGCCTCCGGATGACTTCAGGGATTTGCCGATTTGTCCAACGAACAAAGAAATGACATCTCAGGAACGACCTTTCCTGCGAAAGAACATTTCAAAGGGAAGATATGACGATGTTGAACATTATCTTGATGTACAGTTTCGATTGCTTAGAGAAGATTTCCTCGAGCCCTTAAGGGAAGGAATTTATGAAATTACCCACAACGTTCCTAAAGAACGGCGCAACCAGTCAATGAAATGCTACCAAGGAGTGCGTATTGTCGGAAAGGAATTCACACCCTCTGGCGTAATTTACAAAGTTCAACTTCATGACTCTAAGTCTTCCAAAGCAATATTAGCTCACTCAAAACGGCTCATATTTGGTTCATTCGTTTGCCTTTCGAAAGACAAGTTCCAAACAATGCTCTTTGCCACAGTTGCAAATCGAGATCCAAAGGATGTGGATGAAGGTAAATTTGACATCCGATTCGTCGAAGATCAAAATGTTTTTGGTATCGAAAAGCGTCAAGTGCAGTACCAGATGGCCGAGTCTCCGGCGTATTTTGAGGCGTATTATCATGTGCTCAAGGGACTCCAAGAACTAAACGAAAACAGCATGCCTTTTCCTAAGTACTTGGTTGAATGCAGTGCCGAGGTGGGCCCACCAAAGTATCTCAGACGCGATAACAATCACGATCCCGTATGTTACGATCTCAGCAAAGCCCTTGCCATAAGTCATCCAGCAAAGCTACAGAAGGTACCTGTTCTCCAACCCGAAGCTTGGCCACCGGCTGAGGAACTTCCCTCTTAACATTTCTCAGCTTGAGGCGTTAAAAACAGGAGTAACGACCGAGTTCTCCGTGATTCAAGGGCCCCCCGGGACAGGCAAGACTTACGTTGGAGCCAAGATCGCGCGATGTCTTCTTGAGAACCGAAAACAATGGGATCCTAAGAAAGCATCCCCGATGTTAATGGTCTGCTACACCAATCACGCTCTGGATCAGTTTCTCGAAAAAGTACTAGAATTCAACCAGGAGAGGGGCGCAATAATTCGAGTTGGGGGAAGGTCCAAAAGCCAAAGTCTTGAGGGTTGCAATTTGAAACTATTCGTAAAGGATAACAGACAACGTAACAAGCGTTTCAATATTCATTCGAGATTTAAAGATAATTACAAAGAAATGGAAAATGTCAAGAAAACAATTCTCAAAGCTGACAAAGAAATTCTGGAGTTCAGAGTTTTGGAAGACGGCATGATTCCGCTTCACGTGGACCAACTTTATCGTTCTCGATTTCCACCAAACACAACAACCGAGTGTCGAAAAACTCGCAATACTTTTAAATTGTGGCTGTGCAATAACTCGCGGTTAAATGATATGAATCCGGCGCTAGATGGGTCAACAAAGACTAACCATACTGATGGAGTAGATGGATCAATTCTTCAAGAGGAGAATAAAAGTGAAGGTGAACAAAGTCCTGATCATTTCCGGCCATCATTTGACGTTCACGTTACAGATAAACCACCGCAACAGAAGGCAGGGTGTTCTGATGAAGTAAAAGTTGAAGAAAAACATGAACGCCATGAAGACACGACCTCTAGAGAAGACGAAGCAACACGGATACAAAATCAAAGACGCCTAGTAGGCGAAGAGGAATGTATAAGAGCGATTCAACTACCCAACAAAGGAAACTGTGAAGATGAAGATGACAAAGATAATAATGAAAATGGCGGAGGATGGATAAAGGTAGAATGTAGGAATTCGTCCAGACGAAAGAGGAATGAAGATAGGAAAGATCACACTGGTAGAGGCATCCATAGCACAGAGACGACCATTAAAAAACGTGGGAAGAAAAAAGAGATTCATCTTACAGCAGACACAAGCCAAATACAAGAGAAGCTTCAAAATGTATCTGGAATGTCGGATGAAGAAACGATGAATGTGCCAAATATTTGGTTCTTGTCAGAAGATGACCGACTCCGATTGTACCTTTACTGGGCCGAATGCTACCGTGATCGCCTCAGAATGGAAGTTCAAGGATATGAACGGAAGCACGAGCAGCTTTGTGCTGAATTAGAAGAGTTAAGAGCAGAAGAGAGAGGAAGAAGTCATACGTAAAGCAACTGTAGTTGGAATGACAACCAGCGGAGCCGCAAGGTACCACTCAATGCTTCAAAAAATAGGTCCAAAAATTGTCATCATTGAGGAGGCGGCCGAAGTAATGGAGGCGCACATCATCACTTCTCTATCACGTGATACAAATCATGTTATACTTATCGGAGACCACAAGCAGCTACGCCCGAAAGCAACAGTCTATGAACTGGCCCAGAAATACAACCTGGAAATTTCCTTATTCGAAAGAATGGTAATGAACAGTATGGATTGCAAACAGCTGTCTATACAGCACCGCATGCGCCCTGAGATTGCTGCACTGACTAAACGGTTCTACGATCATGAGATATTGGATCACGAAACAGTGTGCAAGTTCGAGAATATAGTTGGCATAACAAAAAATATGTTCTTTGTTGATCACTGTCAACTGGAGAGCCTAAATGGGAATCTGCAGAGTTTCTCTAATCCCCACGAAGCCACCTTCTTGAAATCCCTATGTATGTATCTTCTACAGCAAGGCTACAGACGGCACCAAATTACAATTCTAACCATGTACATCGGCCAGCTACTTCTTCTTCAAGAAAAAATGCCACGAAATCAATTTGAAGGAATCAAAATATGTACAGTAGACAACTTTCAAGGAGAAGAAAATGATATCATTCTTCTGTCATTGGTGAGAAGCAATTTAGAAGGTCGAATTGGTTTTCTTAGTGAGTCCAATAGAATTTGTGTTGCATTGTCACGAGCACGCAAGGGATTTTACTGCATTGGAAACCTGAACATGCTAAGACGCCAGTGTCAAGTGTGGCAGGGGATATGCAATGATTTAGACGCAACGAAAGCAATTGGCGATACCTTTGAACTTACCTGCCAGAGACACGAGAATATGACATCTGTACGAAATCCAGGCGATTTCCCAAAGTTTGGAGGATGCAGTAGGATGTGTGGGGAGCGACTTGATTGTGGCCATGCTTGTGACAGGCCTTGCCATCCATCGGACTTGTATCATGTTGAGCAATGTCGAAAAGTGTGTTTCAAAAGTTGCCCCAACGAACACCAGTGTGGAAAAGTCTGTCATTATCCAAGAAGCTGTCCTGATTGTTCTCACGGTATGTGGAAGACAGTACCTAAGTGTGGGCACGAACAATCCATACCATGCAGTGTTGATCCTGCAGCGTTTTCCTGTTTAGTGAAATGCGAAAAGATGCTACCATGTGGACACAAGTGCAGAAAAAAGTGTGGAGAGGTGTGCACCGCAAAATGCAAAGAAAAATGTCTCAAAAGTCTCCCATGTGGGCACAATAAAGAGATAGCATGTCACCGTGATCCGACTACCGTTGAATGTAACAACGACTGCAAGAAGGTTCTGGAATGTGGCCACCCTTGCAAGAAAAGATGTAAAGATGAATGTCAGTGTAACGAAGAAATAATGGTTCAACTACCGTGTAAGCATATGAAACGAGTTTTGTGCCACAAGAAACACGATTCATTCGAGTGCCATGAGAGATGCAGAAGAACTTTGGACTGCGGTCATGAGTGTCCTGGGAACTGTTTTGAGGATTGTAGAGTGGATCTATGCAAAGCAACTGTGATCAAAGAACTTCCTTGTGGGCACCGACAAAGTGAGCCTTGCAATGTTGACCCCAAAAGTGCTTTTTGTTATAATCCTTGCCAGAGACCATTGGACTGCGGTCACAAATGCCCATCAGTATGCGGCCGTCAATGCAAAGAAGTCAAATGTGAGGAGTTGTGCCAAACCAAGTGCGCAAGAGGTCACGCATGCCAAAAGCTGTGCCACTATGGTCGTGCGTGTGATGCCTGCATGGTGGTACACAATATGCCACTTCCCACATGTGGACACACAGTCGAGAAGCTCTGTTACATAGATCCAAAATCGATCAACTGTGATAAACCGTGCCAAAGATCAAGAGCATGTGGACACCCTTGCTCAAGTATTTGTAGCAAAAAATGTGAAGCTCAGCCATGCACATTGCCAATGAGCAAAACGTTACCGTGCGGTCACGAGGTGGTTTTACCTTGTCACAAAAACCCCTTAAAGTATAAATGCACTAAAGGAATTGAAGTTAACTTGCCTTGTGGTCACAAAATGCACTACGAGTGTCATGTTGCGCAGGGAGCAGAAAAAAAACCATTGTGCAACGAGAAAGTAGAGAAAGAGTTGCCTTGTAGCCACAAACTCATTCTTCCCTGTCACAAAAAACCTGATGATTGTAAGTGCAAGAAGAAAGTAGATGTTGAACTATCATGTGGACATACAAAGTCTCTCGTTTGCTTCTCTTTGAAAAAGGATTTGCAAAATGCTACTTGTACGGCTAAAACGACGCGAATACTACCGTGCGGACACGAAACAATTCTCCGATGTTATATTAATCCAGAGGAACAGTCCTGTCAAGAGGAGGTTCAACTGACCCTTTCTTGTGGCCACGAGAAGCATACAACATGCTCGGAAATTAAAAATGAATTGACAAAGGAGAATGTAACGAAATGGTTACTATGAAATTGCCTTGTGGCCATGAAAAGCAGATGACGTGCTCTGAACGACAAAAAGGAAACATCTGTGATGCACCTAGTGATCGCTTTCTTCTATGTGAAGAGGAGGTTCAACTTGTCCTTTCCTGTGGACACAGGAAGCTCACGTCATGCTCTAAAATGAAAAATGAATTAGCAAAGGATGAATGTAACGAAAAGCTTACTATGAAATTGCCTTGTGGTCATGAAAAGAAAGTGGAGTGCTCTCAAGGACGAAAAGGAAACATTTTCTGTAATGCTCCTTGTGACCGCTTTCTTCCGTGTGAACACCGTTGTCAGAAAAAATGCGGTGAGAATTGTGCTTCTTTCAAATGTGCTGTGGAAGTTCAGAAGGATTTAGCCTGTGGATTCCATAAAGTCAGTTGCCCCTGCTCTGAGAATGTGTCCCAGGTTGTTTGTAAAAAGAGGTGCCAGCGAAGGTTATCCTGTGGTCACGTATGTCAGGGTAAATGTGCAGAAGAATGTAGTCAGTACAAATGCAACAAAAAAGTGTTGAAACCGCTCAACTGCGCAGGAGGCCACTCTCTCCAAATGAAGTGCAGTGACAATCCCGAAGATGTTAAATGCAAGGAAAAATGCAATAGAAAACTTGGTTGTGGTCACCGATGTCCGGGCCTTTGTAGCGAGAAGTGTGAAAATATGAGATGCACAAACAGAATAGAAGATAAATTTCCTTGTGGCCACAAAATGGAAAATGTTCGATGTTTTCAACGGAAAACCGCCACTTGCACCGCTCCTTGTCAGCGACAGAAGAGTTCGTGCAAACATCGCTGTAAAGGAGTTTGTGGAAAAGATTGCTCTAATTATCCTTGTGAGGAGGTTGTTAACAAATTCCTGTCGTGTGGCCATAACATCGAGATGCGTTGCAAGCACCCGATCGATAAAGTGCAATGCCCGGCTGAATGTAAAGCAAAGTTGCCATGTGGTCACTATTGTACCGGAAAATGTTACGAGTGTCAGGAGAGAGGTTCACATGAATTTTGCCAACATCAATGCGGTCGATTACTGATCTGTTTACACCGTTGCAACGCCGCATGTGGCGAACCTTGCCCTCCCTGTAACAAGAAATGTGCCAAGAGTTGTCCTCACGGAAAATGTAAAAGACGTTGTTCACAGCTATGTGATTCTTGCACTGAACCGTGCAAATGGAGGTGTCCACATTATAAGTGCAAGAATCTTTGTGGGGAGGAGTGCGACCGCCCTCCATGTAATGCTCCGTGTCCCAAGAAGCTCCCCTGTCAACATCCATGTATTGGCTTGTGTGGAGAAAACTGTCCAACGCTGTGTGCCATTTGCAATGCCAAAAAGCTTTCCTCCACAATAGCTGCTAAAGGTTCTGCTAAAAAAGAAGCCATGAGGTGTCTTCAACTTCTTGACTGTGGTCACATCATAAGTGTTGAAGAGATGGACGCATGGATGGTGCGTAAATTGGGTGACCATGTACAACTTCTACAATGCCCCAGGTGCTCAACGTCAATAACATTCAGCTATCGTTACGGAAATATTGTCAAAAGGATGCTGAAAAACGTTGAAAACGTGAAAACACAAATAGAACAACTTGAAGTAGAGGTTAGCGACGCTGTCATTCGTTTAGCAAAGGACATCGGTGCAATTCAGAAGTATGATGTGAAACACAGACAAAGTTTTGGACAGGCAAACCTTGACTTTGTACGATCCATCCAATGGAAGTGGAATCCTTTCAATCTGCCGCGTGGAAATCGCAGTAGTGTTTTCAAATTTACGTTTAAAAATCATTTAATGATCCTTCAACAGGTTACGAACACAGAAGACGTCCTGGCAAACATTAAGGCACATCGTGAGGTCAGCGAACCATGGAAACCAGCAATCAAAGATGCCATGAATAACATTAAAGAGGATCTTGAAAACCCAGAGCTTGATTTGGAAAGTTTAAGCCAGATTCACGAGCAGGCCAAAAAGTTCTTCCTATTCTCTCAAGTTTTAAAGGTCCAGGACATTGCTTTAATGCATCGGATTTCCTTATCGGGCAATGGTGTAGATCGAAAGATGTCAGCACACATTCGGTTTAAGAAATTTCTCAAAGGAAATGATGACATCCTAGATATTGACTGGCTGGAAACAATCGTCAATTTGCTTAGAAAAGAGGTGAAACTTGAGCCACTGCCGAAAGAAGCGCAAGACTTCGCAAATTTTCCTGGTTACCGAACAGATGTCTGGAAATTATGCGAGAAAGGTCACGCATTCTGCATCAGGCGCATTGTGCGAAGAGGAAAAAGCATCCTAGTCGGTAGCGACGGCTGCACGTTGTGTACGGTTAAAGAAAGCGACTAAAAAAATCCGAGTACGTTTATTTCCCAATTGGTTAGTGTACGAATTTAGCAAACGCCATTCCTGAAGGTGTACGGCGACTATTGGGGACACAGCTGATTCACTGGAAAGTGACACAAGATACACGGCAAAATATAAATGGAAACTACTATGGACTCTACGATAATTTAGATGGAGAACCTTATAAATGAAACAAGTTAAATGATGAACATTTTGCCCTATTATAGAAAAGAGTGATACGGACATTGATATGGATAGACCACATCAGAAAACACATCACCAACTTTAGAAAATTACCGTAACCCTTTACACCCTAACATCAGTATCCATTTTCTCCATACTCTTCTCCACATGTTTCTTAGGTACTGACAAGAAGAATTTATTTGAAGATCAAAGCTAGTTAAGTTGGCGATCATTTCCTTTATTCTCATGATCTTAATGAATGGTTTAGCAGTTTTACTGTAAGGAGAAATTAGATGCTGGTCACTCTTAGGGTTTGAAGGGTTAAGCCACGCGGAATGGAATTAGGATTGATCAGAAAGTTTATCCTCAAGTTTTGGCAAAACATCTGCGTCGTTAATTTTTTTGAAACGAGATAGAAAAGTCGACGAAGAAGATTTGAGGATGAAGTAGCAGAAAATATCCTTTTCTTCACCGTGACACTCGTTTTTCACTAAATTCATACGAAGAAAACGTATTTGATGAAGACCAGTGTTTTAATAAAAAAAAATCTTAGATGGTACACAAAACCAATCGTATAGATGGTACATAAAGAAATTTGAATTTTTCGTCGGATAAACTAGACCGAAGAACATTTTTTGAACGTGAGAAGTGAATAGCCGAGTAGCCTGCTGTAGAAATTCAACAAGACTGCCTGAAATGAGCATTTTTTCCTGAAGAAACTACGTACATTTTTTTGATTATATAGTTTCATCTATGAAGCAATTAATAGTTCCTATTAAAGGATCCATGTGATTTACATCTTTTTGTGCTGAGTTTGAGATTTACCTCTTTCGGGCAATCCATTTTTCCTGCACCAAAAAGGGGTCCCACTTACAAGAGAGAGTTGTAACACCATTTATAAGAACGCGTCTAATGTTTCATAACAGGTTAAGTGTTTTCAAATGGCAATCTGCCGTAAAAAAAGAACAAAAGAAACTTCATAATTGAATTTTGTGAATATTACAAGCAATTTAGTGCAAAATAACGAATATAATTACCAAATGTTACTAAAGATTTGGCATTACTGACTGATCATAGTAAAAATCTTCAAATTTTGACAATTGACGATTAATGTTCTGGCCATTTGACGTTTGATGATCGACCTCATTGCAACTGTCCAGAATCCTTTAGTCCAGAAGTCCCTACTGTTCATACTATGAAAATAAGGTTCGACCCAGTCTCTCTTCGTCAGTTAATTGAATTCAACCCGGTTAAATTTGACAGCAGCCTACAAGTAAGGAGTTTCAATTCCCCAATTCTTTTCCTTTTGTAAATGGCAAAGCGGAGAGAAGTTGATGGCAGCGAAAGATTTCACCAAGAACGGAGACTTGTAACGGTTTTAATAGTTCTCACGGTTAAAGATACCGCTGTTTACATGTGAGCGTGCGCAAGGTAATTGCACAATTACAGTTCAACAAATATTGTTGGCAGGAAACTCAGTTTTATTAAAAGCTTTACAAGGATATTTGTGTGAGGTTAATTCAAAGCCGCATCTTGTGAACAGAAGTTCTTTCTATGTTAATTCGTTAGAACAGTTTAAAACTCCGAAGCAAACGTTTCCTATTGATAACAAGTTTACAGTTGTCGCCGTTGCATTGGAATTTCAATCTCCGACGCGAGAACAGTGCTTGCGGCTGTTCGTAAAAATGCAAGTGGCACAATACTGCTTCCGAAATATTTCACATTCTATTTTAATTGAGCAATCGCAAGTATAAAGTTAGGTGACAAGATTATCAATTTACTTTCAAACATTGGTGGGTGAACACTCCTGCAAGATTAACGTATGTTGATTTGAAGTTCAAATTTTATACCTTCCAATCTTTCAAAATTGCTGCGAAGATAAATGTAAATATAAGGTTATTTTTAACGTTGTTCTCCTCGAATCGAATGCTCTTTCCTGGAAATCGTTACAAAATTTCTGAGAAAGATATTCGCTGCTCAAACTTTCTACTCGATTCGGAAAAAACTTTGTGCCAAAGAAAATCTTTCAAAATCAACAATTTAAGTTCAGAGAGATGATTTGATGACGAGAGATGATCGATTTGAAACTGTTGGTTTCTTATAACGGTCCACCTACAAAGGTAGCCTTGCGTGGCAGCGCGTTTGCTGTTGCCACGCAACAGTCACGGAGGACGACTCTTTTTCTGAGAAAAATACAGTCTAGCGATATAGGCAGCCTATAAGTATCCCTTGAGTCTCCTGAACTGGCAAAGGAAAACTCGTCATACAAAATATGGTTGAATATTGACAACTGTTATGTGGTTTACTAGATGACCAACGAAGCGAGCGGAGAAGACGATTCATGGAAGATTCATTTCTCTTTTACGAGATCCACTACGAGTACTCTGCAACGAAATAATGAAAATCTTTCGAATATTTACCTCTGGGAGAGTACCTCATTAGAGGAAAGCCAGCCAACTTTTTACATTTTCATTTTGAAACAAATATTCCTCAGGAAAGACATCGAAACTTTACGACGCATTGTGCTAGACCCGGAAGAAATTAATAGGATAGTAAAACAGATGGAAACAGCTCCAGAGAGTCTTCATGAATATGAGCAGTTCGAAGAAGTCCAATTACTAACAGATATAAGACAAATATCAGATGTGAAATGTAATATCATCGACGGAAAATGTTTTACTGTGGAGCTTCCAATAACAGACCTAATTGACCCAGATCACAATTTGAGGCGCCTGTTAAGAGATTTGCAGACTTACTCCAAAACTTTAAATAAAAATATCATCAGGCAGATTGAAATTAAAGAGAAGCAATCGACGCCAGCAACGAAAAGGAAATCAAGGAAACGTTCAAACAGGAAAATTGTGAAAATGAGACCAATAACTACTTATTTTCCAAAAGAACCCAAGAGAACCAAGGAAACGCAAAAGAATCGAAAAGATCAAATAGTAAGTGGAAAGTGCTCTTCGCATAGAGTGGAAATTATTCAGATAGATGACGACTCAGACTCGTCACACCAGCAAACGGAAAATGAGCCTCGTGAAAATCACGTTGACAAGGAAGAAAAATATTCGATAATCCACGATTTGTTCTCTCTAGATGCCGACTTCTACGAAGAAGATAGAAACTGTGGTGTTGAGAAAAGAGGGACACCTTGGATGACAGCAGAAGTGGCGGATGCAGATAATACGGACGTTAGCGTGACACAAGGCTTTCACCCAAAAAGGGTCACGCGATCATCTGTATCCAATACAGAAGTTTACGTGACACTGGGTTATCATGCGAAACGGATTACGCAATCATCTATATCCAAGAAAAAGAAACCGAAAAAGAACTCCACACTTAAAAGACTGAATCGTAGCAAGAGCTTTGAAAATGGGTCTCTTGCTAACACTGTTGCAACAGATGAAGTCACAGGCATTGAGGAAAATCCAAATAAACACTATGTTGAATTGGATGCAGCTATCAGAAAAGAAATAACAGATTGGTGTGGTGGGGAAACATTCTTGAGAGAGGAAAGTTTGCTAAGATCTGGAATGGTCACAGAAAGGGATAATGGAATGAAGAACAAAGCTGTTCACAAAAAGGGAGAAAGGAACAATCATGTTACTAATAGTAATAATGATGATGACGACGATGATTTTGCAAATTGGTGTAATAAAAAGTCAAGTGAATTGAGACATAAACGTGTCCTCATTCATGAACGTGATGAAGAATCTGGTTGTGAGGAGAATAATAATTCATTTGATTGTATCAAAAAATCAACTAAATTTAGAAATAAATGTATCCTCCTCTCTGATGGCGAGGAATCAGATAGTGGAAAAAATCATCGTACACATAATAACAAGAAACATTCAAGTAAGGTTACATATAAACGTGTCAGAACTTATGATAGTGATGAGGTGTCTGATGGTGACATATAGATGCATTTTCCTGTACTTATAAATGATTAAATGAAGTTGGGTAAAATCATACCTACACTTTTTTATGAAAGAAATCTGAAAGATTTATATAAAACATTTCTACATTTATGACAGTGAGAAGAAGTCTGTCAAAATATATTTTATTATAGTTATAGTAAAAATATCATATGAATAAAGATATAAATGTGCCTGAAAAAGGACTTTGCAACAATAGTGTAATAGAATGCATTGCTAGAAGGAAAACACTGATGAAAACAGTTATAAAATAATAATTACATTTATATAGTGCAGACCTCTATATGGATATATTCAGTTGCACATCACAGTATTGTCAAAGTAAAATTTTGTTAAAGGCAACTAAAAATATAAGAAACTATTTGAAGGCTGAATTAAAAAAATTAGTTTAACAGCAGTCTTGAAAGTGTCCAATGTTTTTATGTTGTGAATTGTCAGAGGTAATGCATTCCAAAGATAAGGTGCAGCTGACTGGAATGCATGATCAACAAGAGTTGGATGAGTCTTAGTACTAGGTAACTCAATTAACAAAGACTTATTTGACCTGAGAGAGTACCTGGATTGCTTTTTTGGCACTAATTAATTCAATTAAATAATTAGGAGTTAGGCCATATAAACACTTAAATGTCAAAAGAAGAATCTTAATTCTACACAGTAACTAATCGGGAGCCAATGAAGGTGAAAAAGCAATGGTGTAACATGACAGAATTTTGGTGGTTCCATGACAGTTATGAACATGAAAAGTTACTCTTTACATCACAATCCTTAGCTTTCACTAAAAAACTTTTTATTTTGGACTAAATCCTACTGACAAAATGTCAAAATACTTTTTGAGAAGTTTGAACTTGTTTCTCTTTTTCCCCAAAAAGACTTCAGCTGTTTTTGTAATGAAAGAACAGTTAGCATTTCCAATAGTCAGTTTTGTCATGCAGTTTGTATTTTTTGTTGAAGACCTGTAGGTCATGATTTGATTCTTTTTGTTTAAATACACTGTATCTGTTGGTGGTTTAACATTGTAACAAGATGTGCAACTTCTAGCCCTTTGGTTGTCATTGAAAATTCATGCAAGAAAGCAACCAACAAACTTTTAAAAGGCCACCTTTTCCTCATTGGTACTAACAAGTGGTATACTCCTTGATCATAAAGTATTCTGATAGCTAGTAATTTAGTGTTAAAAAATGAGTTGAAAATGTAAATTAACCACCATAAAGGGTAAAAAAGCTGACATTTTGAGTGTTAGCCTTTCGTCAGAGTGATTGGCGAAGGGCTAACACTCGAAACGTCAGCTTTTTTACCCTTTATGGTGGCTAATTTACGTTTCCAACTCAGTTGTCAACACTAAATTACCTGCTATATTCTCCCACCGATGCAGCACCACAGTTTCTTTAGGAACTTACCCCTTTATTCTGATAGCTAGTTACACACCATATTAAGAAGAGGAAGGGTTGCCTTGCAGAGTGCACTTGCCTCCTGATGTCAATGCTGAGCCTTGTGGCTCATGGAATTTGGTATGTTGTTGTTTCTTGTCCATAAACCAAAACTTTTTGACCAAAAATCTCTTGTTTTCTTCATTACACAACAACCAAAACTCTGAATTGCAGTTTGACTACAAAGGACTAAGAGTCACCACATATGTGCCCATCTAATTCAAAATTCTAATTTTTTTTCCTAAAACATTATCTGCATCTTGATAGACAATCCCCTCAACTTAACTTTAACAACTGTAAAGCTATATGAGAATGCCACTACACTTTAACAAATTGCCTTTTTCAGATGGATTCCTTAACCCTTTCTATAACAGTTCTTCTGTTGCAGTTTTAAGGGGGCACAGCATGGCTGACTAGCCAGGCCTGCCTGACTAGCACTATTATCAAAGGTGTGTGCAAAAAATAAAGTATCAAACTTAAAAATAACTCATCAGAAAGAGTAGATACTTTATCCTTGTTGTTCTTATTGAAGGAAATAATGAATTGCTATAAAGGATAGCAACAGATCATTTGGAATGCAGTTAGTGGAGACAGCTAATATTGTTTAAAAATGTGGGCTTAAAATGACCGCTTACATTAACAAGACCACTCCAAACTTATTTCAAGTTATTACCAAGAAGTTTCTTCTATAATTTTGTCTTGCTTTAAGTTTGGTCTTGAAAATTCATGTTAAGTTGCAATTTCCACAATACAATTTGGCTGCCCATTTATAAAAATGTGGAGACTTGTTGGGAATACAAAGTGTTGTTTGACTGTTCTTCTGCAATTCTCTTTACAATAGGCCATTTTACAGTTATGTACTTAGTTGCCAAGCCTTTGATTTGGAGTGAGGCTGAAGGTGACCTTGTTGTGATAGAGACCAGTATCTAGTTAGCATGATAACAAAGTAATTTGCATTTGAAAAGCAGCAAGGTTTGTATCATAACAAGGTCACCCTTAGCCTCATTCCTGTTCAAAGGCTTGGCAACCAAGCACACGACTGTAAAATGGTCTATAGTGGCCTTAAATTGTTTTTGGTAGGGGAAACTTTCCATCTTTCTAATTCCAATCTCAGTTAAGTTCTACATCCAGTCTCCTTGTAATACTCTTTGCTTGTAATGGTTCTTCACATGGCACAATTAATTTTAATCAGTGCCCATCTAGTAAAATGTGATGGCTTCATTTTGTTCAAGTGACCATGGCAACAGCAGTAGTAATGTTAAAATTTAAAATGATGATTCAGCTCTTTGTTGACAAATACTTGCAGTGCAAACAAAATTTGAGACTGTATTGGTAACCGCGTTGCTGTAGCTGAAGAAGATGATGCTCTAAGAGACTTCACAAACAAGGTCAACATCAGGGCATTGAACACAAAAACCAGAAGAAATGAAGAAGCTCATGCAAGATTAACCACCTAAAAATCAGTTGAACATTTTTCCAATTTATGCAATCATAGTTGCATTAAACTGTTTGTATTTTAACAAGTAGCTTTCGTAATACTCCTAGAACCTATAAGGGCTAGGAACCTTTTTCACCCTAACATCAGTATGCATCTTATTCTCAGTTCTGTTGACTTTATATTTCCTAAGATGCTGACAAGTATAATTTGTTTAATAATCAAGTGCCTCTTTAATTTGGTTGATGATCATTTACTTTATTCTTATGACCTTAATGCATGATCCAGGGGTTATATTGTAGGGAGAAATTACCGGTAGGTTCTGGTCACCCCTAGGAGTTAAATTGTTAAAGTATTCCCTTCACCAAGTGATTGGCTGAATACGTATTAGTCCTGAAAAGGACTGTTGTTGATTTCAGTGACAAACACTGCAGTACGTTGAGTGGAGTCAATGGATGACTTCCATTAATAAAACAAATGATACTATCACCACTAACAGTCCCTCTGTGGACTATAGTTCCCAGACAATCAGAGCGTTACTGATATCAGGTTCTTACCAGTCTCTGTCCACCCTTTTTACTACAATATAACCCACTTACAATATAACTCTAAAAAAACGCAAAGGGCAGTTAAAATTAACCAACTCAAGCAGCACTTTTTGGCTAAGCTAAATGTGTATATTTTGTATATGATCAATTCTCTTAGTTCTTGCAGTTCATAATGAATTTAACTTCTGCTAGAAACTATTTCTTGCAATTTCAATGTTAAGCAGCACAAAATACATATATGCAACAAAGGAAATGTACCATTTCAATTTTAATTACTTTAATCAATAACACTCTGCTTAAGTTATTCCTGAAAAATCTTCAAGCTACAATTTGAAGCAAATGAAGATATATTTCTTTTGAAAATCAAAATCTTCCAGACATCAACTCTTCAATCGCATAGGACTGTGGGCAGAGTAATTCAACACTGAACATTATATTTTACTTTTACCATGGAGTATAAAATTTTTGATTGGGCTTTCAACCTCTGGGAACAAGGGCAGGGGTGGAAGGGTAACTTCAAGTGAAACCTATTTATGTGAAATAGGACTTGTACATGCTAACATAATGTTAAATTGACCTTTTGTACATAATATTATACAGTTTGACTTACCAGTCATAAAACACAATATTTCTTTGTGATGTAGATGGCATCAGAAACAGCGATATTCTTGGTTTTGTAATTCATCTAGGCGTTTACCATATTGGATATCAATTTAACCCCTTAACCTCCCATGAGTGACCAAGACAGATTTTCTCCTAAAAATGTCAATATAGTATCAAGCAGAAAGTGATGAGAATAAAGAAAAATATCAATTAGAGGATTATTAGTTGATCCAATACCAAATTCTCCATACTGATGAGATCTTGGGAGTGCATGAAAGGGTTAAATTCAACTGTTGGCCATCCCCTCTATGTGTGATTGTACATTTATGTGTAACCTGGACTCCTAATAATAATGAAAAGAAATCACAGACAACACATCTGTGCATTAAAAAATATTTAATTTTTCACCAATCAGTTAACAGTCCATCAAAAATGGATAGCTACAAAGCAAACTGGAAAATTTCTCTTAATTAAAGACAGTATCACAGAAATTTGATACTCTTGCTTAGGCTCCCATGCACTCCGCATTGATTGGCGACAAATGTCAACCCAATAAAAGATTCCAAAAAAGACTATCACTTTCTATCCCCAAAAGTGTAGTGTCCAACTAAATAGTACAACAATTTTTGAATTACTCATCTAGGAGAGCTTTTGAGATATACCACTAACCTTCAAAAAGGCCTTTATACTACCTGAAAAGTGAGCAATTTAAGAATGAGATAAAAAACTATGAGGCACATTAGCAATCCATGGTAGCAGAAAATAATTTTTATGCCTATAATGTTTTACGTCACTGTAAGTAAAATTCAAAGGACTAAGTTATTACAACCACATTACATATAAAGGTCAGGTGTTATGATGTGGAGGTTAAATATATCACTCAACTCATAAGTACATATGTACATTTGATATTTTTCCTTTCCAATTATCACCTACAATTGCTTTGACATGAGTTTGTCCAATTTCTGTGTA